TGTCGGGACGCGAACGGCAGTCGGCTACATGGGAGTCCAGTGACACAGCCGTTACGCCAACTGCAGGTCTATATTTATTTTATTTTTAAAAAAGAATTATTTATTTAATTTAATTAATTTATTTATTTAAATTTGTCCAGAGAGGGACAGAGTGAGCGAGAGAGAGAGAGAGAGAGAGAGAGAAAGTGAGAAAGCAAACCGCCAGGTCCAGGACTTGAACCATGGCTGGCCATGTGGGAATCCGGCACCTTTAACCACCATGCCACCTGCTGGCCCCCTTTTTCATTTTTAAAAATGTAGTCATTTGTTTCTTCAATGAGAGACAGAGTCCGGTGTGCCCCACAGGGTCTGTACACCACGACCCTCCCCCAGGCTCACCCAGCACAGGCCACTGGGGCTTGCCCACCTGGGGTGCACAGGGAGGGCCTGGTATGTGCCCCCAGGGCTTTCCTGAGGGGGTCCCGTCGTGTCACCACCGTGCCATCACTCGGCCCCATTCCTTACGGTGTTTTTCCTTTCTTCTTCTTCTTTTTTTTTAAGAGAGATTTTTGCTGTAGGGTGTGTGTCCTCGCCAGACAGACAGAAAATGAGAAATCACCGCCCCCCAGGGGGAATGGCTACACCGCAATCCCTTCTCTTCCATTCTCCTCTCGAGATTTTGGGCACACATGCACAAACGCCTAGCATGAGTTTTAAGCCACCGGATCCGGGACTCGAACCGTGGTCGACTTCATGGGAGTTCAGTGATGTAACCATTACGCCATCTGCTGGTCTCCCCTTCTTTTTAACGATAGTGTGTGCACATGCACATGGAGAAGGAAAGAGAGAGAGGAGCAGCCTTGACAGGGTCTGTCGTAATGACTCCACTTCTCAGCCCTCCATCCCCTCTCCTCCGATTCCTGGATGCCCGTGATTGTACCCAGCATGTTCCTGGGCCGACCTGGGGACCTGGACTGTGGTTGCCATGTGGCTTCCAGCACTGCAGAGCACCAGTGTCACCACTGTGTCACAGCTGCTGGACCTCTGTTTTGTTTTTCGTTTTTTATTTTTCCTTTAATTTGCTGTAGAGCACACGCACTCACCAGAGAGAGACAGAGTCAGAGAGAGAATGTGAGAAAGCCCCCCCGGGGGGATGGCCACGCTACGATCCTTTCTCCATTCTCACAGAATTTGGGCCATGCACGCATATGCACCCAGCATGTTTTTTCAATCCACCGGGCCCAGGACTCAAACCACACAGCCAGTCATGTGGGATCCAGCTGCTTTATCCACCATGCCACGTGCTGGCCCCTGGGCCTCCATTTCTAGTGCTCGATTCCCTCCCTTTTTCTTTCCTTCCTTCCTTCTCTCCCTCTCTTCCATCTTGCCTTCTCCATCCTCCCCTTCCATCCTCCCCTTGTCTTCTTTCCTTCCTCCCCCTCTCTCATCCCTAGTGCGTTTATCTAGTTCCCTGTCCCTCCGTTTGTCCCTCCACTCAGTTATGTGCTCACAGATTCACTTCGTTTTTTTTTTTTTTAACTTTTTTTTTTTTTGAGATATTTTCACTGTAGGGCGCGTGCACTCGCCAGACAGACAGAGAGACATAGAGACAGAAAGCGAGAAATCACCCCCCAGGGGGGATGGTCACGCCGCAATCCCTTCTCCTCCATTCTCCTCTCGGGATCTTGGGCACACACGCACACGCACCCGGCGTGAGTTTTAAGCCACCGGGTCCGGGACACGAACCGTGGTCGACTACGTGGGAGTCCAGCGACATAGCCATTACGCTAACTGCTGGTTCCCATCCATTCACTTCTTTCCGTCCGTTTGTCCACCCATCCATCTGCCCACCCGCCTTCTGGCAGGCCCCCAGCTGCCACTTCTCGTCTCTGTCTCACTCCATTCCTGGGGATCCCATGGCTTTCCTGGGGCTCAGAGAGAATTTGAAGCCCCATGGCATTAACTCTATTTTTTAATAATTATTTATTTTATTTATTCTTCTTCCATTTGACCAGACAGAGACAGAGAAAGAGAGAGTGAGTGAGAAAGCCAGCTGCCAGGTCAGCCATGTGGGAGTCCTGCGCCTCAACCCCACGCCACCTGCTGACCCCGTGGCAGTAACTCTTTCTCCCCCAGCAAGGAAGCCCCTGAGAAAAGGGACGGAGAGTAGAGGGATGGCGCTGGTGGGGCAATAGTCCCTCAGAGCATTCTAACAGGCCTAGCGGGGACCGGGCGCCGCAGACCACCTTCGGACCGCAGCGCCCCCTGGTGGATTCTGCTGCGTCCTGGTCCTGGCAATAGCACATGGTCCCTGCCGAGGCCCAGGCTGCAAAGCCAGGGCTCCCTCCCTCTGCCTCCAGGACACAGGGGGCTCCGTCTCCCTTCCGCCTCCTCAGACCTCCCCTGTGAGTCATCACCCCCAACTTCCACCCCACCAGTGGAACTGGGGTGCAGCTGAGGTCTTCGGACTCGAAGGCTATCTCAGGGAGATCTGGGAGCAGGATTCCTCTCAGATCGTGGCTCAAAGGTCAGGGTTCAAGAGCAGGTGAACCGGGGCTGTCCTCATCCGGCCCTGCTCAGGAGGTGGGACCAGATGAGGAGGAGGGGGTGGCCATCCCTGGCTCTGGTGATTTGGGGACTTTGCTCACCCTGCAGCCCCCGCCCGCCCTGGCCTGGGCCCCCTGACTGCAGCCCCCCCTTCCCCTCCAGCCGGCCCCTGCTCGGTTCCCCTCCTCTCTCCCTTCCGGGCGCTCAGCCTTTCTCTCTCCTCCCCTCGTCCTTGTCCTCCCTCGTCTTCACCTTCCTTATCCAGCCTTCCCGCCTCCTCTCTTCTCCTGTCACTCCCTGGTGTGTGCCAGGCTCTGAGCTGCGAGAGGACACGGCAGTGAGGGGTCCTGCCCTCACAAGCACCCCGACTACTCTCTCAAAATCTAGCACGCCGAGGTGCCCGATTCATGCTTGTCGGATGTCCAAATGAGTAGCTCCAAGCCTCTTTCCTTAGCGTCTGTTTTTCCCTTTCCTTTCTCTCCACATTTCTTCTCCCCCAGCCCTCTGCATGTCACGGGTGTCCTGTGCCTGCCTCTGCCAGCCCGCGTCTCTCCCACGTACACACAGAGCTGGAGACACACAGAGCTGGAGACGCACAGTAGGTGCGCAGTAACAGTGGTCGCTCAGCCATTTACCCAGCGTTCGCCATGCGGCAGTCCTAGAAAGAGGATCTGCGGACATGGCCTTGCTGTCTCTGAAGCTTGTAGAGTGAATAAACGATGGGATTAACGAGTGAATGACAACGCATGAACGTGATGCTGAGTCTTTTAGTCTGCTGTCTTCTTATTTCCTTTGTCTCTTTCAGTCTCCATCTGCCTTAGCAAATATCGAATAAGTGATAAATGGTGGGCACGTGGAGGGAGCGAGGAATGGGTGATGGGTAGATCAGTGGGGGTGGATAGGTGAATTGGATGGGCAGGTGAGTGGACGGATAAATGAATGATGGATGGATGATAGATGTATGAGTGGATTAATGGGTGAGTAGGTGGTCAGATGGGTAGATAGGTGAATGCATAGATGGAAGGATGGGTTGGTGGGTGGATGGATGGATGGATGGGTGGATAGATGGATGGGTTGGTGGTTGGGTGGATGGATGGATGGATGGATGGATGGATGGATGGATGGATGGATGAGTGGATGGATGGATAGATGGATGGGTTGGTGGTTGGGTGGATGGATGGATGGATGGATGGATGAGTGGATGGATGGATGGATGGATGGATGGACGGGTTGGTGGGTGGGTGGATGGATGGATAGATGGATGGATGGGTGGATGGATGAGTGGATGGATGGATGGATGAGTAGATGGATGGGTGGGTGGATGAGTGGATGGATGGGTGGGTGGATGAGTAGATGGATGTATGTATGGGTGGGTGGGTGGATGGATGGATGAATGGATAGGTGGATGGATGAGTGGATGGGTGGATGGGTGGGTGGGGGGATGGATGAGTGGATGAATGGATGGATGGATAGATGGATGGATGGCTGAGTGAGTGGGTGGATGGATGGATGGATGGATGAATGGATGGATGGATGGATGGGTGGGTGGATGAATGGGAGGGTGGATAGGTGAACGGTTAGTTGTAAGGGTAAGTTGGTGGGTGGATGGATGAAAGGATGGGTAGGCTTATGTATTTTTATCTGTCTCTTCCCAACACATAGTAGGTACTCACTATAGTTTGTTGGATAAACATTTCTTGGTGTTTCCTGCTGTCACTCCTCCCTCAGTCTGGCCCTCCCCCACAATGTCTAGGTCCATAAGACTGGGCAGGCAGGGGACAGGCTCTCCCCTCACTATGCTTTCCTACCCCTCCAGGAAGCAGCCGCAGAGCCCCAAGGCTCCCGCGCCCCAGCCGCCCCCCATCCTCAAAGTCTTCAACCGGCCCATCCTCTTTGACATCGTGTCCCGGGGCTCCACTGCAGACCTGGATGGGCTGCTTCCCTTCTTGCTGACCCACAAGAAGCGCCTGACCGATGAGGAGTTCCGGGGTGAGTCACTCAGGCGGGCATAGCTGCTGGGCCAGCCAGGGCTTGGGGGGAAGGCCTGACACCGGGACCCCTTTTCCCTCAGCATCTTCCTTTGGGCCAGTGGACTGGCCAGTGGAGCACTGGGCAGGGCGTCCGATCCTGTGTGTCCTCTGCCATGTTACTTAATCTCTCTGGGCCTTGTCTACTGCCGCTCATGTAGTCATCCATTCATTCATTCAGCCTTTATTTATAAAGAGGCTAGTGTGGTAGGTCAGTAGAGTCCCCACACATGGGTTCAAATCTCACCTCCACCACTTAAGGAACTTGTAGTGCCTGAGCCTCAGTTTCCTCATCTGTAAACTGGGAATAACAATCGCACGGTCCTGGCCTCTGAGGAGGGGCCGTCTCATGAGGTGCCCTGAGCAAGGCTGCTGGGGTCTTGGAGCCCCTGCTCTCTCTAAGGGGAGCCGTGAGGTGTGGACAGGGCATTGGGCGGGGGTTCCTGCTTCCACTTCTCAGGGTCTGCCCTGCCCCAGCTGTAGGGCATCCCTCCCCTCCTGAGGCTGAAGCTCCAGCCCAGAGAGCTCACCCCACACTCTGGCCCAGGCTCAGACCCCATGGCGGGGCGCCTTCCCTGAAAGTGGGGCCAGTGCCCTGGGAGCCCTTGCCCAGCCAGCTGCCTGCCACGTGCCGGGCACCAGATGGTGCAGGACTGAGCAGCACAGCCGCGTAGGGTGGCAGAACTCTGGCGCCTGCTCCTCGGAGGCCACTGTGGCAGGTCTGCAGCTTGGGGATGAGGAAGCTTCAAGGGGTCAGGAGATGCCTTTTTTGTTGTGTTTAGTCTTTGCTAGAAGGCGCCTGTGCTTGCCGGAGAGACAGAGAGACAGAGAGGGAAAATGAGGCACCACCCCCTGGGGGGATGGCCATGCCACAATCCCTTCTCCTCCATCCTCTCGGGATTTGGGGCATGCACGCACACGTGCCCGGCATGATCGTTTAAGCCACCGGGTCCAAGACTCGAACCACACAGTCAACTACGTGGGATCCAGTGCCTTAACCACCTGCAGGCCCAGGAGAAGCCTTTTTGAGAGTTCAGTTACTTTAGGTAAATTAAGTGCCAAAAGAGTGGTCATGTCTACGATCCATTTTCCACACATATTGTGTGTGTGTTTAAGAATTGTCTTATTTAATTTTATTTACTCATTTATTTTATTTTAATATGACTAGAGAGGGACAGAGAAAGAGAGAGAGAGACAGAGAGGGAAAGTGAGAAAGCAAGCCGCCAGGTCCAGGACTCGAACTGTGGTCAGCCATGTGGGAGTCTAGCACCCTTAACCACCATGCCACCTGCTGGCCCCCCCTTTTTTATTAAGAGAGATTTTCTATGGGACTAGCAGGGGGCATAATGGTCACACGGCTGGACTCCCTGTAGTCAACCATGGTTTGAGTACCTCAACTGGTGGCTTAAAACTCACGCTGGGCTCCTGTGCGTGCGTGCCCAAAATCCCGAAAGGAGAATGGAGGAGAAGGGATTGTGGCCTGGTTGTCCCCCCAAGCTTATTTCTGTATGTGAGTGCATATGCCCTTACAAAAAAAAACTTAAAAACAAAACAAACAAAAAAAACCACCTCGTTTCAGGCCCCTCCTGGCCCGCCAGGCTCATCAGACAAACTTGTGCGGCCCAGACGAGCGGATGCCCGGAGGACGGGTACTGGGCCCTCAGCAGTGCTGAGGCGGCCAGGCTGGGCCTGCCCTGGGCTCAGGACTGAGTGTGGTGGGGGGTCGGGGGGCGCCTAGGCTAACCCAGGAGCCCCCAGGGAGGGTGCGTGTGCACAGAGGAGTGATCTCCAACGTGGGGCCCCAGAAACTGGAGAGAACGGCAGTGCAGGTTCTCACGGGGACGCCTTGTGTGGCCCCTGACGCTGCTCCGAAGGCGGGGACCTAAGTTCAGATCCTGGTCGCCTTTCGTTTTGGTAAGCTGGGTCCCAGATCCTATAAGCCTCAGGCCCAGCAGAACCGCGGCACCGGCCCCTGCATGTTTTTCTGGCTGATGAGTTCGTCTGGTTTTCAGGGTTGTCGGGGCCACTCCCCCCCCCCCGTCCCCCCCCCCCCCCGTCCCCAGCAACCCACGAAGTTTCACAACCGCCCACTTCCAGTTTGGCAGTCGCCAGCTTAGACGGGGCCCCCAACGCGCCCAGCATCACCCGCCCCCCCTTCCCGCCCCGCGGGCTCTGCCACGTCGCCATCTGGTGGTCAGGCTGCATGTCCTGCCCCATCCTGGCGTGTTATCCCAGGACTCTGGGCTGCCTGTTCCCCCCCCACCTCCGTGCGTGAGTCTGAGAGTGTGGAAGTCCAAGTCTGGTCCCACTGTGGGTCTCCTGTGCTTTGGAATCACCTTTCGTTGCGTGATTATTCGCGCAGTGAGGGGTTATTGGGCACCTATTAAGTTTCAGGCCCTGTGGTCGGTGGGGAGTGAACAACAGTGACAAAACAGACATGCCCCTGCCCTCAAGTTGCTCATGGCTCCTGGTGAGCCCGGATCAAGCAGCCACAGGCATAAACACACGTTACAAATTGTAAAGGGTGTCTGTCCGTAAGAGACTGTATGGAAGGATTTGACCTCGTTAGGGGAAATCTAGGAGGGCTTCCTAAAGGAGGTAACATTGAGCAGAGACTGAATGAGTTACAGTTAACCAGGTGAGGAGAGGAGAGAGGTTTTAGCATGTGCAAAGGCCCTGCAGCTTGCCATGATCGCAGTGGTGTGCTGAGGTGACTCTCGCTGCACCACAGAGAGTACATGTGGAGACGCCAGAGAGGCTGGGGGGACCAGGGAGGTCTCAGGAACGTGAGAGAGACAGCAGCCAGGCCAGGGTGGAGACAGTGGAGATAAGAGCCATGGAGGGATTGGAGAAATCGGAGGTGAGTTGGAAGTGGCATGCCAGGATTCACGTGCCGGCTGGGCTGGGTCTGGAGGGAGTTGAGGGGCGCTGGGAGTTGGCAACACTCAGAAAATATAAGCCAGCCTGATGGCTCCTCGAAGCTCAGGCTGAGCGTGGGTGTCTGGGTCTGTGCATTCGGGGCAACCCAGCTCTCCTGCACCGGCGGGGAGCTGGAGATAGCGTTCCTTCCAGACAGTCACCTGCTGTCACCTCTAGGCTGGGCAGGAAGTTGCTGGGGACAAGCGGAGGCTTGTCTGAGTCCCCTCATTCCCGGGGGCTGGGACTGGAATTCAGGCTCCAAGAGTTTCCTCTCTGACTCCTTGGGGGCGGCTCCTGTCACCCCCACTGTGCCTGGTATATTGGGCTAATCAGCAAATACCCATCAGCTCAATTGATTTCCCATCATAGCCTCAATTTAGCTTGAAAGAAAACGAAAACTGGGCCTAGTGGTTAAGAGAGCCCGTTCACATGTGGCTAACGGGTTCGAATCCTGGCCTTGACAGTTTGAAAAACACTTCAGGCACGTGTGCATGTGTGTCTAGAATCCTGATAGGATGGAGAAATGGAAGAGAAGAGATTGTGTCTCCCTCAGAGACAGAGAGACAGAGAGAGATAGAAAGTGAGAAATCCCTGTCCCTCCACCCGGGGGTATGGCCATGCCGCCATGTGTTCTCCTCCATTCTCCTCTCAGGATTTTGGGCATGCACTCACATGCACCCGGCATGAGTTCTGAGCTGCCGGGTCCGGGACTCAAACTGTGGTTGACTACGTGGGAGTCCAGTGACGTCACCTTTATGTTGTCTGCTGGTCCTGCAAGGTCCTTCTCACTGTTATTAATTAAACAAACACCAGTGTACAGCCCGTGGCCTCCTGCATTTCAAAACACTTCTCGTGTGTTTGTCTGATGTGCTCAGCACCATGGGAGGCGGACAGAGCCTGCCCCATGTCCCCGTGGCTGGGATGGGGACACTGACTCAGAGAGGAGGCACGGCAGCCAGGGCGAGTCCAGAGCTCCTGACTCCCCACCCAGCGCCTGGGTCCTGCTGCCCAGCAGTTCGGGGCCACAGGCTGGAGCACCCCCTCATCCTGTCCCTCTGCCCCCTAGAGCCATCCACGGGGAAACCCGCCTTGCCCAAGGCCCTGCTAAACCTGAGCAACGGCCGCAACGACACCATCCCGGTGCTCCTGGACATCGCAGAGCGCACCGGCAACATGCGCGAGTTCATCAACTCACCCTTCCGCGACATCTACTACCGAGGTGCGGCCCGGGCTGGGCGGTGATGGGGAGGGTGGCTATAGAGGTACTGTCCTTGATTGTCTGAACCCGAGAGCTTCGGTCTGGGCCTCGGGTGCTACTATGTGCCCAGGAACTGATGGTAAATGAGTGAGTGAGTGAGGGGTCAGCAGGTGGCATGGTGGTTAAGGCGCTGGACTCCCATGTGGTCCACTGCGATTCAAGTCCCAGACCCAGTGACTTGAAAGTCATGCCGGGCGCGTGTGCATGCGTGCCCAAAATCCTGAGAGGAAAATGGAGAAGGATTGTGGTGTAGTCATCCCCCCTGGGGGGTGATTTCTTGCTTTCTCTCTCTCTCTCTCTCTCTCTCTCTCTCTGTCTCTCCAGCAAGTGCATGTCCTGTAGCAAAAATCTCTGGGGGGAAAATTCTGTATCTGTGATGCAGGAGGCCTGGGGCTTTATGCACCCAAAGCTCCACATCCCAGGGGTGCCCGAGGTCCCATTTGCTGCCCTTGGGTGCTGCTGGCCACGGTTCTGCACCCCACCCGTCCCCAAGCCAGCCTGATCCAGTCCCTGTCCTGCCAGAGCCGTGGATGGGTGTCGCCCCCTCCAGGTCAGACGGCCCTGCACATTGCCATCGAGCGCCGCTGCAAACACTACGTGGAGCTCTTGGTGGCCCAGGGCGCCGACGTGCACGCCCAGGCTCGCGGGCGCTTCTTCCAGCCCAAGGACGAGGGGGGCTACTTCTACTTCGGTGAGGACACTCAGGAGAATTGGGGCTGGGTCAGAGGACACGGGCTGGTGTCTGCAGCCATGACCACTCCCCAGACACCAGCCTCCACCTGCATGTCAGTCTCGGCTCCAGGGTCCAAGCACAGTGGGGAGCTTGCACTCAGAGACCTGGGTTCAAATCCTCACTCTGCTACCTCCCAGCCAAGAGGCCTCACTTCTCTGAGTCTCAGCCTCCCTGTCTGCAGTGGGGAGCATGAGAACTCCCAGGGCTGTGATGGGGTGTTGGCACCCCGCATCTTCTTGGTACCTTTAGTTCAACTCGCCCTGGGACCAATCTTTGATTGTGTGGCCCACACCCCAGGTGGGATGTCGGAGCTGCAGCAGTGACAAGTTCTGAGTCTCACAGCCCTGGCTGCAGGCACACCTGCCGTGGGCCTTAGGGACACGGGTACCCAAAGCGTCCCACCATCTGGCCAAGGGCTTGGTGGTTAAACAGCTGGATTACACACGGTCGACTGTGCAGACGAGTCCTGGATCCAGTGGCTCGAGAAACACACCAGGCGCGTGTGTGCGCGTGCCCCAGATCCCGAGAGAACAGAGAAGGGGCGGCAGCGTGGCCATCCCCCCAGGGGGTGCTTTCTCACTGTCCCTCTCCCTCTCTCTGGCAAGCACACGTGCTCTATAGCAAATTTAAAATAATAATAATAAATAACCCACCAATGTGTGTCCAGTCACTCTGAGCCCCCAGATCCTGGGTCCTGTCCCCAGATAGCCACCCCCGCTTCCCCAGCATCACCCTCAGAAATGTGTAGTTGCCGTGTGGTGCATTCACGTGGGCTGTCGGTACCGTGTGCGTGGTCACGTGTCCGTCCCTGGGTGTCCACGTGCAGGGCCCCGCCCAGGCCCTTCACTGACCCCTGCCCGGGCCCACAGGGGAGCTGCCTCTGTCTCTGGCCGCCTGCACCAACCAGCCCCACATCGTCAACTACCTGACGGAGAACCCGCACAAGAAGGCCGACATGCGGCGGCAGGACTCGCGAGGCAACACGGTGCTGCACGCGCTGGTGGCCATCGCCGACAACACCCGCGAGAACACCAAGTTTGTCACCAAGATGTACGACCTGCTGCTGCTCAAGTGCGCCCGCCTCTTCCCCGACAGCAACCTGGAGGCCGTGCTCAACAACGATGGCCTGTCGCCCCTCATGATGGCCGCCAAGACCGGCAAGATCGGGGTGAGTGGGGCACCCCGTCGCCTGCACCCCACACACTCGCACACACACACACACACACTCACAGGGAGCTGCTGTGTAAGAACTGTCTACTCTCGGGACCAGCAGTTAGCGTAATGGCTAGATCGCTTGACTCCCAGCGGTAGTCGACCGCAGTTCAAGTCCCGGGCCCGGTGGCTTAAACTCACGCTGGGCGCGTGTGTGTGCGTGCCCAAGATCCCGAGAGGAGAATGGAGGGGAAGGGATTGCGGCGTGGCCATCCCCCCTGGGGGGTGATTTCTTGCTTTCTGTCTCTCTGTCTCTCCAGTGAGCATGCATGCCCCATAACAAAAATCTCTAAAAAATAAATAAATAAGTAAAAGTAAAGAACTCTCTGTTCTTAATATGGGAAAGGGGTCTTTAAAAAGTTCATGGAAAATGTGTGTTATGAAAACATGCATGGTTTAAAAAATGTTTTGCACCAAAATAGTCTTAACTTTAATTCTATTTCTGCAATTTTTTTGTCTTTAGTCTTTTGGTATAAGGCATGTGTGTGCTTGCCAGAGAGACAGAGAGAGAAAGTGAGAAATCACCCCCAGGTGGATGGCCACGCCACAATCTCTTCTCCATTCTCTCGGGATTTGGGGCGGGCGTGCACATATACCTGGTGTGATTTCCAAGCCGCCGAGTCCGGGACTCGAACCATGCAGATGGCCATGTGGCAGTCCAGCCGCCTTAGCTTTCCCACCACCTGCTGGCCCAACACACTGTTGTCTTACTATGGGAAGAAGACGCTCATCACGCTCATGTCCAAGGCTTGGGGAGCTCAGGCGGGCTCTCAGCCCTCATCTGCTCATCTCACCAAGATGGTAAGAGTAAGAGTTAGGGACAGCTGGTGGCATCGGGTTTAGGGCGGCTGAATCCCACATGGCCAACCTCACAGTTCGAGTCCCAGACATGGTGGCATGAGAGGCATGCCCGTGCGAGTGTGTGTGTGTGTGTATGTGCCTGCATCAAATCCCAAGAGTAGAAGGGTCTGTGGGGGCTGGCAGGTGGTGTAGCAGTTAAGGTACTGGACTCCCATATGGCTGACCACGGTTCAAGTCTTGAACCTGGTGGCTTGCTTTCTCACTCTCCCAATCTCTTTCTCTGTGTCTATCTGCTCTAATTAAAAAATAGTAATAATAATGATAAACAAAATTAAATAGATAATTTTTAAATTTTTATTTATTCATTCATTTATTTTTAATTTGACCAGAGAGAGAGAGAGAGATAGAGAGAGAGAAAGGGAAAGTGAGAAAGCAAGCTATCAAGTCCAGGACTCTGACCACAGCTGGCATTTGGGAGTCTCGTGCCTTAACTACCACGCCACCTGTTAGAATTAAACAAGATGATGTCAGAAAAGGGTCTGGCAAACAGTGGGTGCTTGGTAAATATTTCCTGCCCCTCTATCCTGTCCTCTGGGTAGGCTGCTCCCCGCCTCCCGGGTCCCCCCGATACGAGGCTGAGCTGTGGTGCCCGTACCCCGGGCTCCTGATCCTCACTGCCCTCGTCCAGATTTTTCAGCACATCATCCGGCGAGAGGTGACCGACGAGGACACACGCCACCTGTCCCGCAAGTTCAAGGACTGGGCCTACGGGCCGGTGTACTCCTCGCTCTACGACCTCTCCTCGCTGGACACGTGTGGGGAAGAGGCCTCGGTGCTGGAGATCCTGGTGTACAACAGCAAGATCGAGGTGGGTGCCGGGGCGTGGCTGGGAGTGGGCGCACACCCACGCCTCGGAGGGCAAAGCTGAGGGCCCACTGGCTGGATGCAGAAGGAGGCGCAGCTAAGCGCCCAGAACGGCATCCGGCCATGGGGGAAATGAGCGAGCTCTATGGAGGGGTGCACGTTGGGGTGCAAGTGAGGCGGGACTGGGATCCTGGCTTAGTAACTAACATGCTGTGTGAGTTTGGAGAAGTGGCTCGACCTCTGAGTCTCACCTTCTTTCTCTGTATCCCGGGAATAAGGAGCGTGCATATCCCACGGGGCTGCCGGGAGGGTCGGCTGAGTTTATTTTACAACAGCCTGGCACAGAGCAGACAGCACGCGTCAGCTGTTATCATTAGCGGTCATTCTGTGACGTTCCGGATACCCTTTTTCTCTTAGCGGCATTCTGTGAGTATCGCTGCGCTCCAGTAAATATTCTCCCACAGTATCGCTGCTGCACGCAAATGCACCGAATGCTAACGAGCCGTCCCCATCGTTGGTTGTTCGGGTTTGTCTCTGCCATTATCGACCAGCATTGGCACCGTGATGGCGTCTCTGTGGCCCCACTGCCGCACAAGTCACAATGAAGAAACTCAAGCCATTAGAGGGTTGGGGTCCTGCGTACAAGGGACAGAGGATGCTGGGCTGGGCACGGGGTGTGGCAACCTTCCTTCTCATCCTGCCCCGGCTCTGGGAGCTTGGCTTCCCTGCAGGACCGCACTTCCCTCATCTCTAAAATGAGCTGCTCACTTGATTTAGGGGTGATCCGAGGTTTGGCTTCTCTGGCGCACACGGAGTGGCGGTGCCCATCCAGGGAACTCGATGAGCACGAATGTTCAGGGCTCAATTATTGATGTCTGTCCTGGTCCAGGACTGGAGAACTGTGATGACTTACCCAGCTGGGCTACATCTTCTCATCCTTTCTGAATCAGTATCACAGAGCCCAGAAATGACTTGTCATTTTAGCAAGCTCCATGCAGGTGATTTTGTTGCCAGAAGGGCAACAAAAGGGATCACGGGAATAGATGTCCTCCTCCTCCTCGGGTGTGTGAGAGAGTGCACGTGTAAGAGGAAAACAGCTGTTTTTGACAAGCTCTCTCCATGCCGCTCAGCCTCCCTCACATGTCACTGTGCTGGCCTGTTTAGGTTGGTCCAGAAGCTGAGCCAGGCCTCCTGTGTGGCCAGCCACAGTGCCCTCCTGGGACTGGGCCAAGAACGGGTGTCCTGCAGTGAATGGGCTTTCCAGCTCTGAGTTCTGCAGTGCTATAATGGGGCAGAGAGGGGCCAGCAGGTGATGTAGTGGCTAAGGTGCTGGACTCCCATGTGGCCGACTGTGGTTCTAGTCCCAGACCCGGCAGCTTGAAATTCACACTGGGCACATGTGTGTGTGCCCAGAATCCTGATAGCAGAATGGAGAATTGCCACTGTGGCATGGCCATCCTCCTGGGGGCTGATTTCTCACTTTCCGTCTCTCTGGCGAGCACACATGTCCTATAGCAAAAATCTCTCTGAAAATATAAATAAATAAAGGAAGGAAAGAAGGAATAGCTAGAGAGGTGGCTGGAGGCGCGCTGGGGGTCCTCCGGTGCTGAGCCCAGGCGTTTGGGCCAGTCCCAAGTGCTCACCTCGTTCCCTGTGAGCGCGTGAGTGTAGCGGAAGGATGGATCAGGCGAGCGCACCGCGGACGGTGTCGGGCAGCGGTGGGGGGAGGCAGACCCCAGTCAGCCCGTCCAGACCACAGCCCCAGCCACCCTGCCTCTCACAGAACCGCCATGAGATGCTGGCGGTGGAGCCCATCAACGAGCTGCTGCGGGACAAGTGGCGCAAGTTCGGGGCTGTGTCCTTCTACATCAACGTGGCCTCCTACCTGTGCGCCATGGTCATCTTCACCCTCACCGCCTACTACCAGCCGCTGGAGGGCACCGTGAGTGGCAGGACCGGGGGCAGCTGCAGCGGGCCCTGGGCTGGGCCACCAGGATGGGGCCCAATGGGGTCCTCTCGGGCCCCCTGTGGGAGTGGCTGAGAAGGCTTAGGACCAGGTGGGGAGGTGCACTGAGCTGGGAGGAGGCCTAGACGGGAGAGTGAAGCGGGAGGGTCCAGAGGGTCCAGATGTCTGGGGTGCTGGGAGGCATCTGGGTCTGGGCAGAAGTTGGGGGGCTTGGTGAGGACCTTGTGTGCCCCTGCCCCCCTAGCCGCCATACCCTTACCGCACCACCGTGGACTACCTGAGGCTGGCTGGCGAGATCATCACGCTCTTCACTGGGGTCCTATTCTTCTTCACCAACGTGAGTGCTCGGCCCCCAACGCCACGCACCCTGCACGTCCCCCACCTCTTCCTCCACCTCCTCTATCTCCCCTTTCCTGGCCCACTCTCTCTCTCCCCTCCTTTTCCCCTTAACTTTACGCCCCTCTCTCCTACCTCCTTGTGCAGCCTGTGTTCTCCTGCTCTGCTTTTCCCTCCTTTCCCAACGGCAAAGAGCCCACCGCCTCTTCTCTGTGCCATACTCCGCACCCCTCCCTTCTATCCCTTCCTCTTCCTCCTCTCTCCTCTCCTCTCCCCTCCTCTTGGCTCTACCCCTTCCATGATCCTCCTCCTCTCTTCCAGATCAAAGACTTGTTCATGAAGAAATGTCCTGGAGTGAATTCTCTCTTCATCGATGGCTCCTTTCAGCTGCTCTAGTGAGTAGAGGTCTCTGGGCCAGCAACTTCTGGGTGGGTGAAGAGGTGGGGTCGGCCTAGTGGGTCATTCATCCCACAGGCAGAAGTGACTTATTAGGAGCGAATCCATCCAACCTGGGCAGCTCTAACAAAAGTCAAAACAAGGCCAAAGTCAAGCAATAGGATAGGGTCTTTTGGTTAATGACATATTCTGGTTGCTCAAGAGTTACTGTATCCACCATGTCTAGAAATATTGGATTGTCATAAAAGTCATGAAGTATTTTTCTATGTTTTTCTATGCAAAAAAAAAGTCATGCTTTCTCTGACAACCCAATAATTTTAATTTCTAGATTAGCAGTTGACTGCTAATGTCTGCCTGGCATATCAAGTAGAAACTGTATGTGCATTTAGTTAGAAAGAGGGCTGTGATTGATTAGTGATGTCTGCCTAGGGCGCAGAATGTGGGAGTTACTATACGTGTGCTCTGTATTTACTGGGTCCCTTAGAGTTGGAGAACACTGAAACTCACAGTCTTAACGTCCCTATGGAACGGCATTGGGTCTTATCCTAGCAATCTCAAGGGGATCTTGTAGGATCTCTGGGCCATTATACATACTAATTGGCAGCTAAATGAGTGTTCTGGTCATCAGCATGCTGGAAACCCAGCTAGTCTGCTTTGTTTCTCTTCTGGGGGTCTAGAAGGCATTGGGAGGTCCTGGTGCCCTGGAGGGCTTGGGGACATATCTCCCCCTGCAGGGCCTCATCGTCCCCTGTCCTCTCTGGTCCCTCTTGTGATCTGGGCGACCCCGTAGCTTCATCTACTCTGTGCTGGTGATCGTGTCTGCAGCCCTGTACCTGGCAGGGGTGGAGGCCTACCTGGCCGTGATGGTGTTTGCCCTGGTCCTGGGCTGGATGAACGCCCTTTACTTCACCCGCGGACTGAAGCTGACAGGCACCTACAGCATCATGATCCAGAAGGTACGGGGCAAGGCCACCCTCTGGACTTGGGTGTCCCTGGAAGGAGCCACGCACACCACGCCTGCTTCTTAAGCACCTGCAGACCTGAGGATGTGGGGCACTATGCAGGCAGCGGGCATGGCCTGGACATCGGGGAGGGACAATAGTGGAGGTGGAAGGAAAGACCGGGCTGGAGGGTGGGGAAAATGAGAGACCGTGTGCCCCCTCTCTGCTTCCACAACCTCCCTGCCCCCCGGGTTTTCAGATCCTCTTCAAGGACCTTTTCCGCTTCCTGCTGGTCTACTTGCTCTTCATGATTGGCTACGCGTCAGGTGAGCACTGGGCGCCCGGGGTCCGGGGAGCTGGCAGGGGAGGAGGGTGTGAGGGCTGGAACAGTCACTGCATACTGAGGGCAGGAACAGGATTCCCTCGTACGTGTGCGAGGCCAAGTTCTTTACCACCCCTGCCTCATTTATCCTCCCAGCAAGCTGTGCAGTAAGTGCCTCTGTTTCCTTCTCGTTATAGATAAGGAAACTAGAGCTCGAAAGAAGGGACCGGAGGGTGGTACGGCAGTAAGACATGGGAAGGTTGTCAGTTCAAGTCCAGGGACTTCCCTGATGACTCCGGGCACTCACTTGCCCATGATCTGGGGCTGGCTGAAGACTGGGATGGAACATGGCATCAAGATCTTACTGGGGGTGTTCTCTCTCTCTCTCTCATGAAATAAATAAATAACCCCTTTTTTTAAAGTAGAGAAGATGAAATGCCTTGCCCAAGTGTAAAAGCTAGTAAATAAATGGGACCAGCAGATGGCATAATGGTTATGTCACTGGACTCCCACATGGCTGAGTACAGTTCAAGTCCTAGACCTGGCAGCTTCAAATTCATGCCGGGGGTGTGTGTGTGCATGCCCAAAATCCCAAGAGAAGAATGAGGAGAAAGGATTGTGGCATGGCCATCCTCCCCGGGAGGTGCTTTCTCGATTTCCTTCTCTTTCTATTTCTGTCTGTCTCTGGCAAGCATGCACACACCCTAAGGCAAAAACAAACAAAAAACAAAAGCAAGCGTGCCGCCCCGCCCTCCCTCCTGAACCCGTGCGCCAACATGAAAGTGTGCAGTGAGGACCAGGCCAACTGCACGGTGCCCACCTACCCCTCGTGCCGCGACAGCGAGACCTTCAGCACCTTCCTGCTGGACCTCTTCAAGCTGACCATCGGCATGGGCGACCTGGAGATGCTGAGCAGCACCAAGTACCCGGTGGTCTTCATCGTGCTGCTGGTCACCTACATCATCCTCACCTTCGTGCTGCTGCTCAACATGCTCATCGCGCTCATGGGCGAGACGGTGGGCCAGGTCTCCAAGGAAAGCAAGCACATCTGGAAGCTGCAGGTGCGGCCCTGCCCCGAGGGGAGCCGGGGACATGCACGCCAGGCAGGACCCCTCAGCCTCCACTCCGGGCCGGCTGCTTCGTCTCACTCTGCCTCCACTTTCCTGTCTGTAACGTGGGCACCAAGCACTGCCACCTGCCTGGCAGAGCTGCCCAGGGAATTCTGAGGTGACTTCTTGCCCAGCCACTAGCTGTGGGCTGTCACCTGGCGTGGGGCACGGTGGCACAGCCGGACCCACATGGAGGGTCCTGGCTTTGCAGTATGTGCCCGGAGTATGTGCACACTCGATAGATGAACTTAAAAAAGAAGAAGAAGAAATGAGAGCTGGCCCCATGGCCTGGTGGTTAAAGGAGCTGGATCCTACAGGGCCAGTCATGCAGTTCAAATCCCGCCCCACCAGCTTATAAAAGATGCCGGGCGTGTGTGTGTGCATGCCCCACATCCCCCCAGGATGGAGAGATGGGGGAGGAGGCATTACAGCATGAGTTTGCCCCACTGTGGGGTGCTTGCTCCCTCTCCCTCTCTCTCTGTTTCTCTGTCTCTCTGGAAAGTACTCGCACTCTTTGGCAATTTAATTAAAAGAGAAAGAAAGAAACAAGGCTGGCATGGGTACAGGACGCCACAGTGCAGATGCCTTCTCACCTGGGGACTTCCACCAGCCCAGGCATGGCTTCCAGGATTCACGGCCCTGGGCTTGCTGTCCCAGAGGGCAGGCGGAGGTGGCCCAGGGGAGCTGCTGCTTTTGTTTCCACATTCCCAATTTCTGTGCAGTTTGAGAAGGCAGAGGCCCTGGGGGTCACAGCCCTCCTGGCCAGGCGCGGTTCACAATGACCAGTCCACCCCAAGACCCGGGTGCAGACCCATGTTTACCAGGACTCGGTGTGTTTCCAGGAAATGGCGCAGTGAAGAAAACCTGAGGTCGTCCTGCCGGGTCTGGGCGAGAGGGAAACGGCTGAGCCCGCTTTTTAGTTTTTTAGAATTATTTAATTTTATTTATTATTCTTTTTGATGAGGCCTGTGCACTCACCAGAGACAGAAACCGAGGCAGAGTGAGGAAGCAAGCTGCCATGTCCAGAACTTGAACACAGTTGGCGATGTGGAAGTCCAATGCCTGAACCACCACGCCACCTGCTGGCCGCTCAGCCTGCTCTTGACCTTTATCTGAACTGCTTTTGTCCCTGGGCCTCAGTTTCCCTACCAGGCATAACCCAAGGTGCAGACCAGCCGCCTGCGACTGGATTTGACCAACAAAGATTTCTATCTTTTGGACCATGCTATGTATTTTTTAAACGTGTTTGTGTTTATTAATTAAAAAAAAAAATTCCAGAGGGCACATGTGCTCAACAGAGCAAGACAGAGAGACAGCAGCCCCGTCGGGACTCGGGGCACGCATGCACACGTGTACGGCGTTTCTCCAGCGGCCGGGGCCAGGTGCTCATAAACCCTGTTCCGAGGACAGAGGGAGCCGGGGAGCCGAGTGCTCTGCCCACCCCAGCCTGTCACCCCGTCTGCCGTTGGGGCAATAGGTATGGGCTGGGGGCTCACCGACGCCCTGACCCTTCCTCCCGCAGTGGGCCACCACCATCCTGGACATCGAGCGCTCCTTCCCCGTGTTCCTGAGGAAGGCCTTTCGCTCCGGGGAGATGGTGACCGTGGGCAAGAGCTCGGACGGCACTCCAGACCGCAGGTGGTGCTTCAGGTGAGGCGGTGAGGGACGGGGCCGCCTCAGGACCAGGGCTCCCCAAGTCCGGGGCCCGTTTCACTCCTCCTGGCGACTCTGAGCAAGTCGGTTACTTCTCCCAGACTCGGTTTCTTTCTTTCCTCTGTTCATTTGTGCCATAGGGCACATGGGCTCATTGGAGAGAGAGAGAGAGAGAAAGAGAGAGAGAGAGAGAGAGAGGGAGAGAAGGAAAGTGAGGAATCACGTCCCCAGGGGGCATGGCCACACCACAAGCCTTTCTCTCCTCTACTCCCCTCCTGGGACCTTGGGCACACACACACACACATCTGGCATGACCCTCAAGCCACCAGGTCTGGGACTCGAACCTGGGTTGGCCATGTGGGAGTCCAGCGCCTTAACCGCTACACCACCTGCTGACCCCCGGCCTTGGTTTCTTCATCTGTGTAGTGGGGACAATACCAGCATCTCCTGTGATGTGTGGGTGTGGGTCAGCGCCTGCCGCACATGGACGCCAGGCGGTCAGGCAGGTCCAAGCGCTGACGCTGCTCGCTTGCTCCAGAGCTCCGCCCTCTGTCTGCAGTGCACCTTCCGTACCTGGCCTGGTCCATTCTGTCGCTAATGCCAGAGGGACCTGAGTCAGAAACATTCATAAAAATGGAGGCTTGGGGGCCAGCAGATAGCGTAGCAGTTATGTCACTGGACCCCCACACGGTCGACCAGGTTCGAGTCCCGGACCCGGTGACTTGACAGTCACACCAGGCATGTGTACGTATGTGCCCAGGACCCCAGAGGAAAATGGAGGAGAAGGGATCGTGGCATGGCCATCCCCCCTGGGAGTGATTTCTCACTTTCCCTCCCACCGTCTCTGTCTCTGTCTCTCCAGTGATCATCATACACACCCTCAAGCGAAAACCATTTTTTTTTTTTAATGGAGGTTTGTTCAGCTCCCAGTTTGGAGGTCGACCCAAGGCCTCATGTGGTGAGGGGCTCCTGCTTTTGGGTGCAATGGCGGGAAGCAGGAGTTCAAGCGGCGCCGAGCGAACCTCCGTCCCTTTCCCGCTCTGCGTCTGTCTCATTCCCTCTCTGTGTCTCTACCCCGTCCTTTTCCATGTCTCTGTCCTGCTCCCTCTCCTGATAAACCTACCGACTTAGTTATGGGGGCCGACCTGCTCCCTGATCGCTCCCCAGAGGCTCCACCTGTCAACACCGTACTCTGATTAGGGCTCCACCTTCTCCATACCTTTATAATGGCTCGCTAAATTGTTCAGGTTTTGCCACCAGGCGCATGTGCTCGCCAGAGGGAGAGAGTAACAGAGAGAGGAAGTGAGAAGTCACACCCCCCCGGGGTGGGGGTAATGGCCACACCGCAGTCCCTTCTCCTCTTTTCTCCTGGCGGGATTTTGGGCACGCATGCGCAGAGCTGTGCTTGGCCATGTGGGAATCCAGTTTAACCACTGCGCCACCTGCTGGCTCAGGCCTGCAAGTGTTCTTAAGGCCACTGATTGTAGGATTTTGAGTGGTTAAATGGGCCAGATGGTGGTGCAGCATTAGTGCAAGTGGAGCCACGTGGAGAGGTCGTGCGTTCGCGTCCCGACCCCTCCCTGAGCACGCCAGGTGCACACGTGTGCCCGTGGTCAGGGGTGTACTGGGGTGTGAGGACCCTGTCTCTGTCTCTCTAGGAAGAGGTAAATAAGCTGACATAGTGGCTAAAATGGCAAATTTCACATCGTCCTCATTTTACTGCAGCAAAACACGGGGGGGGGGAGGAGGGGGGAGCCTGGGGGTGGGGACAGGGAGCCATCCCTGTGGGGCTGCCTCCTGACCCACCGCGCCGCCCCCACAGGGTGGACGAGGTAAACTGGTCTCACTGGAACAAGCACTTGGGCATCATCAACGAGGACCCAGGCAGGAACGAGACGTACCAGTACTACGGCTTCTCGCACACCGCGGGGCGGCTCGGGCAGGTTTGAGGGCGGGGGGGGGGGGGGGCGCCCGCACCTGTCCCCCGCGCGGTGCCCAGGACAGCAGGTGCCGGTGTCCGCACACCCTCACCCCCGCTTCCACGCTCGCTGCAGATCGCTGGTCCTCCGTGGTGCCTCGTGTGGTGGAGCTGAACAAGAACTCGAACCCAGACGACGTGGTGGTGCCCCTGGACACCATGGCGAACCCCAGCTGTGACGGCCACCAGCAGAGCTACCCCCCCAAGTGGAGGACTGACGATGCCCCGCTCTAGGGCTGCGGGCAGGGCCAGGTCTCGGGCCAGCACCCCGCCCACGCCCTCCGCCCCGCCCACCTGCATTTCAGCGGTGCCTCGCAGGATGTCAGCATGCCCGCCTCTGCTCCCCGGAGGGGAGGGGTGGCGGAGGTGCCAGGTTGGCCAGGACCCTCCAGTCCCCAGGCTCCTGCCCCCAGCTCTGTCTCCTCCCCCCGGGCCAGGGCTCCTGGCCGCCTGTCTCACTCCCATGGAGTCAGTAAGTGGACGCTGGGTCCCTCCGCCCGTGGGGCCCGCCCCGCCTCTCCGTTATTTATTTGCTGAGCTCTCAGGAAAGCGGCGTGACCCTCGGTGCAGCCTGGCCTCTGGACCCCGTTCTGGGTGCACGCCGGGCCAGTCCCAGCCCCACGCCACGGCAGCTTGGTGACTGCAGGGGGCCCGTGGAGGGGGGCACCTTCCGTGTGTGTTCTGTAGAGCGTCTGGGATTTGTCGGTGCTCAATAAATGTTCACTCAATGATGGCGGGGGTGGCGGGGACGATGGTGGTGATGGCCAGATGATGGCGGAGGTGGTGGGGACCACGGAGGTGGCGGGGACGATGGTGGTGATGGTCAGATGATGGCAGAGGTGGCTAGGAGGACGGAGGTGGCAGGGACAGTGGTGGAGGTGGTGGGGACCGTGGTGGAGGTGGTGGGGACAATGGTGGAGGTGGCGGGGGCTGTGGTGGAGGTGGCGAGGACAATGGTGGAGGTGGCGGGGGCTGTGGTGGAAGGAAGGCAGAGCCGTGCCCGGTGCCCTGGGGGTGCTCTGGTGTAGGTGGGTGGTAGGGAGGCGGGTGAGCAGTTGGGGTGGCCTGGGACGGTGGAGCTGAGGGAATGGGGTGGTGGCAGAGCGGGGCCGCAGCCTCTGCCCCGAGCTCGGTGATGGGTGTTTCTGGAGACCTCCGGTCCGTCATGTTACCTGCCCGGACGTCGGCGTCCTTGTCTGTTGGAAGGGACAGTGAGTCTCCACAAGGACAAGGAAGGACACTTTCCTAACTGTGGAGGCTGGAGTGGGTGGGGGCC